CCCCCTGGGCGTGCTGAGCCCCCCACTGAGTCCTGATATGGTCGCCCTGCCCATAATCCCAGCACTGCAGAGGCTGCAAACAGGAGGACCACTACAAGTCCTGGATGTACAGTGAGACCCTGCATGAAATGAAGGATAAATAAATAAATAAATAAATAGAAATAAATAAATGTAAAATTCTTAAAAATCTACTTGTGTAATAACAGTAATGAAAACTATCTTACAGGGCTTCTTTGGGATTTTTTTTATTAATTATGGTGAGGTACACATAACAAAACTGAAGTGTCTTAACCATTTTCAACCGTATAGGGGCACAACTGTGCACAAGGCTCCAGTATCTCTGCATCCTTCTCAGTACTTACTTTCTGCATTTTGTCCAAGTAAACATTCTAATTTTTAAAATGAAAACATAAAATTGCCATAGCTGTCTCCAAAGCCAAACAATTGAATAAATCCAATCAGAGAGGGCTTGGGGAATCCTACAGGACTTAACCACACCAGCCTCGTGTAGAATAGGAATGACACGGAACGTATGCAGCAGGTTATATAGGAAAGCACGTTAAAGCCCCTCCCACTCTCCGGCCACTCCAGAAAGTCCCCCCACACCCCTGCCCCACTGATGCCTCTCCTGCACCTTCTCTCTGGGCTCCATGCCACCTTGTCATTACCTTTTCCTCTTTCTGATACTTGTCTCTGGTTTGACCAATCCTGCTGAGTTCACTGTCTAGGGGAAGCAGAATCTGTATTTGCATTTTCCTTTTGGAGACCAGCTATCTGGAGTACATTTCTCCACTTCATTACACAGACTGTGAAAATTAGCTGACATACCATAAATGCTGTATTCCTCAGTGTTTTTTATTGCTAGGAAATACGTGATACCCACAGGTGCACTGACACGTAAAGAAATATGGTTTCACTTTCCAGACCACAAATGGCTCACTCAAGACAGGAACATCATAGCGCACAGTGGCCTAACAGAGGAAAGTCGCTGAATTCATGGTATCCAGAAAGCAGAGAGGAAGGAGCCAGGGACCATACACAGTCCCAAGGTCATGGCCACATGACTCACCCAGACACACCCACAACTTTGCTTCCCTAATCTCCTAGGCATCTCTTGAGCCGATGAGCTGACAAGCAAAATTAATCATCATAGGTGCCCAGTATGTGGTAGCTGTTCTTATAGAATCTGCCTCGTAGATGTACTGTGAGCGTTATAAATGAGCAGTGAACACAGAGTGCATTTTAGTGAGCACTTTCTGAAGGTTATCATTGTGACAGTAACTAGGAGCTCAGTGTGCAGGACTTACTGCTTAGCAGGACAAGCTGCTGGTGACTTTAGGTCTATGTGACCACGTAAAGTCTCCTCGGCATGAAGATCTTTGACTTTCCCCAGAACTTCCCAGCACTTCCCTTTCACTACACAGGTGTAAGGTGAATAGGTATCATTGCCTTGGGGTAATGGGTTAAGGAAGCTTTGTAGCTCAGAAAACCTGCTCTTCCCAGTATCTTCTTAGTAGGGGAAGGAGAAAATAACTTTGTGCTCAGCAGGGGAAGAAACCTTGTCTTTAGTTGATCCTCCTTCTGTAATGAGAGGCAGTAGCCCCCTTCTCTGTGGAATCAGTTACTTACAGTTTCAGTTATCTGTAGTCAGTGGTGTTCTGAAAGTATTCCTTAGAAAATTTCAAAAATAAATAATTCTGAAGTTTTAAGACATGCACTGTTTTGAATAATGTGACAAGACCTTGAACTACCTACCCATGAATGGCCGCCTTGATCTTGGTGGCTGTCTTAGCTAGCAGGTCGACACTTGTGGTTGGTGTGCTCAGATGACTCTTATTTTATTGCCCCCAAAACACAATAGCACTGATGTTGGTGATTTCATGACAATTATTGTTTTTTTTTATTTATTTATTTATTTTGTGTGTATGTGGCCAGCTCAGCCCACCAGGGTGCGGGGCTGGCTGGCATGTGGTGCTGGGGGATTGAACCGCGGTCCCTGTGCTTTGCTTAGCTTAGCTTGTTCTAAGTAGGTGCTTTAGACCACTGAGCCATCTCACCAGCCCGACAATTATTGTTATAGTCATTCCATTTTATTCATATCATTTGTTGTTACTCTCTTATTTTACCTAATTATAAATTAAATGTAATCATGTTTAATTATATAGTAATTGATATACTCTTTAAAAAAAAACCACAGGGCATATACTATCTAAGGTTTATATTATTTGTGATTCCAAGCATTTATGGGGGGAGTTGAAACACATCCCCTGTGGATAAGAGAGGAGTATTCTGTCTGAGATTGGGTAGTTTATAAACAATTGAAATTTATTTCTTACAATTCTGTGTAGGCTGGCACAGCTAGACTGAGCAGCCTAAAAACAAGACATCAGCAGATTGTGTCAACCAAGTACACACTTATTCCTCTCTCTCTCTCTCTCTCTCTCTCTCTCTCTCTCTCTCTCTCTTTCTCTCTTGACACGGGGTCTTCCTATGCAGTTCAGGCCCACCTTGACTTCCCAACAATCCTCCTGTCTTAACCTCTCAAGTGCTAGGATTATAGGCTGTGCCACTATGCCTAGCTCCTTTTCTTCTTTCTTTCTTTCCTACTTTTTTTTTTTTTTTTTTTTTTTGGAACTGGGGATTGAACTCGGGACCTTGCGTTGCCAGGGAAGCACTTATTCCACTGAGCCATCTCCCCAGCCCCTCTTTCTTTCTTTTCAAAGATTTATTTGGTAGAACAGAGAATTTATGAACATTAGGCACCATAGTTTAGTCTAATACACTGGTATAAAGGGAACCAACTTCAATATAATTTGTCTTTTGCCAAAAAACTGTTATGAGCTGAATGTATGTACCCATCTCCCATTCATTTGTTGAAACTCTATAGGATGGCATTTGTAGGTAGAACCTTTGGCAGGAGATTAATTTTTTATATTGGAAAAAATTTTCTTTTATATTGTAGCCTCCTGAATGGGATTAGCACCCCTATAAAAGGGACCCCTCACAGTACTCTGGGTCTCCTTTTGTCATATGACAAAGTGAGAGGGTCTGCCCTGATCTTGGACTTCCCACCTTCTAAACCATGAGACATAAATATTTGCCATTTGAGTCATCCAGTCTATGAAGAAGATGCAGCAAACTGTAGAACGGGGCAAACACAAATCCTCCTCTCTTGGATTTTTAGCAGATGTGTGGGTGTTGACCCCCAACCTGACCTCTGTACCTCTGACTTCTACAACAGCCATCACTGTATAAGCACAGCACCATGGTGACTGACACAGACACAGCCTCACCCTTTTATTGTCTGGACTCTTCAGTGTTGAAAAGAGTTGTGCAAAGAAAGCAAATCAGCTGTGCTCCACCTTAGTGTGTAGGAAACAGAGACAGAAACTGAGGCAACTCTGGGTTGAACTGTGTCATGCAGTGGCTGTGTGTCCTTGTGGTGTTACTCCCTGTCTCTGAGCCTGGAGTTCTGTGAAGTCAAAGTGGGAATGATAGTGAAGTCGCCTCCCAGGACTGTCAAGAGAAGCCCTCAGTGAGGAGCTGGTCCCCTGCAATGTCAGCTCCAAGGTCTTAGTCTGAGAGCTAGAGGGAAGCTTCTGGGGGCTGGAGATGTTCACTTCCCAGACCTGGGCCTCCTCAGCAACCCCACCCACGCATCTGCATTTCTCTGTAAGTGCCTCAGGTGTATTCAGACAGAAGTTCCCTTCTCAGGTCTAGGACACTTTGGAGTGACCCCAGCAGAGACTCCGAGAAGGTGCCATCATCTCTTTCCCCCAAAATTTACAGAGGAGGAAGAAGGTCCAGCTAACAGAAATGAATAGCAGCGCTTCAGTGTTTGACCTTCTCCTCATGAGGACCTTAGGCCTCAAGTCCCAGAAACAGTGGTAGAGAAATGGAAGAAATGCTTCCCCTGTTCTCCCTGGCAGGCAGACTTCTACAGGTTGTTCTTGACCCTGCACCTTCAAAGCTTTCCCAGTCCATTAAAGAACATTTAAGAAGAATGAAAAATATTTTCCCCTCTACCTTTCTTTTCCTCATCTTTCTTCGTCATGCCATTCTTCTTTCCTTGTCTGTTCTTATCCCCTAATGCCAATAACTTTTTCAGATTATCCTGGTACTATTCTTGCAAGAATGCCCTACCGCTTATTCCACTGAGCCATCTCCCAGGCCTGCTTTATTTTTTAAATGAAAGAGTATTCATGCTTGTGAAAAAAAAAGCAATCAGATTTTTTTCCACTGTATTTCCCTCAAACCCATTCCCTTGAAGTGACCACCACTGAACAGTTCGACATACATCCTTGCAAGCATTTCTGAATGGACCATTTAACAGCTATATAGAAATTGCCTAGAATGTTCTGCACAGTGTGCTGGGTTCTACTGGTAACCAAACATCAATCTATATACTTTATGTACAAATTTTTGTGTATCCATCATAGATATTGGCAAAAATAACATTTACTAAATATCTGAGAGCCCCTTTTCCACGGTAGTATGTAAAAATAATAAGTACTCGTGCATTCCAATTTTTCATAGTGACATAGTTTTCTGTTGTAAAGATGTGCCACAACATTTATTACTTGCCTTATGCTAGTTTAAAAAACACCCACATTTCCTTTGCTGAGCAACCAGCTTCAGGCATCGTACTTGACCAGTAACTGGCAGGCAGGATAGGCGTGCTCTAGGGAGTCCCTGTGTGAGGATGGAAGGACCACCAGCTATGTGGGCTGCCCCTCAGACCTTTTCAACAGGCAGACAATTCCCCTAGCAGAAGAGTGTATGGTAGCCCAGCCGGCCAGTGGTGTGGCTAAGGGTACACTGGACCCTCTGATATCAAAGCTGCTGCCACCACGGCTCCCATAACACTCTGTGGCGCTCAGAGTCTCTGTGTTTATATGTGTACACATTGCTGCGTATCATTCTGCCTGCAGCATCTGCTGTGTGCAGTAAATTGTGTAGGCTATCAATTAAACAATGGGAAGGGGATGGGAGAAAATAAACTTCAGGTTATGAAATGGGAAGCCAGCGAGGATGCAGGGACATGGGCAGTAAGTCCCCCGTTGGTGGTTAAGGCAGCAAATGCTTAAGTTGTAAACGGTAAGAAGCTCCTGCTCCCTGCTCCTCCTTACTATCTGCCAGCCCCTCTTTGAAGCTGCTAATGAGTAAGCAGACTTCACAGGCAAGTTCAGACTCCTTCCCAGCAGCGTGGGCACTGCAGTCACTGGGGGTCCCGGGCGTTCCTTTGCAGTTTCCTAGCCGGATGGTGAAAACAATAATGCAGCCTAATTGGTCCCTGGTTCTTTCTAGTGAATGAAGGAGGTTTCTGTTTTAAGAAATAAAGTGCCTTAGCTGTTGATTCACTGCCCACAGGGAGATTTCTGAGCACAGGCTTCCTAGCCTCCGCGGAGATTTGCATACAACTTCCACTTCCTGCTTCAGAGCCTGTTCTACAACTTACCTGGCCCTGGACAGGGCAAAAGAAGTCCAGAGCAACCCGAGGTGAAGGCAAGAGAAGCAGAAAGCGCGACCACCCCCAGCTGTCTGTCTGTGTGTCTGTCCCTCGTGGGTCTAAGGTGAGTGAGCCCGCCCTGTCCGATTTCTTAACCACTGACCCACTTTCCAAAACGCTGTTTTCTCTCTTCGCCGAAACGTTCTGCCCCAGTTTCCTCAGCCCTTCCCTCTCTCCCCACCTTTAGCTTGTTTTTATGGGGATCAACTTGGGCTGAGAAAATGAGAGGAAGTTTCTACAGCAAGAATGTGTTGCTGGATTAATGTTCCAGACCAGCGAGCTGAGATTTAACTCTTTGAAGAGAGAAGGCCCACACACTGGTGTGATTCCAAGCTGCTTGGGAATCACTTGTTTGGGCATTTTCTGTCCCCTAAAGTTTGGATCAAGAATTGAAGTTCCCCTGCTCCAAGGTGGGGCCCACCCTGGCAAAGTTTAAGGACCTGGCTTCCAGCTCCACCACATGTCTGTAACAGAGGGAAGGACACCTCCCAAATTTTCTCTATTCTGGTTTCATACAGGGGGAAAAAAAGCACACAATATTCTCGGGCCAGGACACCTCCCTGAACACTGCGCTGTGTGTGAGCCTTCCCTGGCTCCTCTGCAGCTCTGCCCTCCTCAAACCTTTACAGACCCTGGACAGAGCATTGTGGGGACACCCTGGAGAAATGCTTTATTTGGTCTTACAGGCTGATCAAGCTTCTTACAACATTTAGATTCAAGGTGGCCTCTTCAAACATATATATAATTTTTTTTTGGTGGAAGAAAATAGGCCAAATGATTTAAAAAGAAGTCAGGAAACTTGGATCCAAGTTCTCACTCTACTTTGTGTAGTTCCATCTCTTACACAATTCATTTTGGCTCCCCTGGGCCTGGATTTCTTCATTAGCAAAGTGTGTGTGTGTATATGTGTGTATGTGTGTGTGTACTAGCATGATTATATCTAAATTCCTTTCTAACCAAACAAAGCTGGGCAGAGCCTTAATGGGTGGTCTGAGAAGACTTGTTTTGCTTACTGGTTATTACCTATATAAATTTTACCTTCTGCTTCTAGTTGGTGAGCCTCTGGAGGAAATGGACCTTGTTTCTTAATACTTTTCTGGGCACCAGAATCTCCCCTCCTAGCAAAAAGCACACTGCAAGGCGCATATTGGATGATTCCCCAGCTTCTTCCCACGCGAGCATCTTTGATTTCTGTTTCACTCATCTGCTTGGTAGGCTAAAGGTAAAGCAGCAGCCAGGCTGAGCTGGCGGAGGAAGCCCTTCTGTGGAGGGCTGCCTAGAACCAAGATGTCATTACTGGTTCCAGCCAGATACGAGGGAATGGGGGTTTCTTGAATGAGTTTTTGTCCCATTTGCATTTCCCAGAAAGCATTGTCTACCCCACGCATTTGCTCACAGAGTCAGAGGAGGCTGGAGAACTGACAGGCAAACTCAGTGCCAGAGACCAATGATGTGACCGAGCTGGAGCAATCATCGTGTGGGGCCTTTAATGGGAGGGGAAAGGAAACAGTGAAACATAACCTCGTGCCATGTCACGGCAATGACTATGATCAGACTCATTATTAGATGGCAGATACAAGAAATCCTTAACCTTTTCCAAACCACTGCTTTTTAAAAATGTGTTATTGTTTCTCTTGGGCAATTTCTCACTGTCAGTACAGTTCCAACAGGCTCTGGTTGAGTGGGATGGGCCAACTCAGGGATTTTGGGATTGTTGAATTTTTGTGGGCTTTAGGCCCTGGCATAGTCCTCTAGTCCCACTTTCTGATGTTTCGGTCTAGTCCTCTGGGCTAGGAGGATAGGCATTTCAACGTGTTTCACCTGTGCTGGCTCCTGATTGTGTTTTCTTTCTTTCTTTCTTTTTTTTTTGCGGAACCAGGGATTGAACTCAGGCCCTTGTCTGATTGTATTTTCAAACACAACGCATCATTATCTGGGATTGGGCTCACTGTTGTTCAGTTGCCAGCCGAGCATCCACCTGTAAAGGCCTCGCTGCCAGTGTTCTCAGTCTGGCTCCGTCACCCCCAGTCCTTCGGTGTGGTGTCAGGAGGAGAATGCTACCGCTCTGCCCACTTCATTGCCAGGGTGTTGTAATGAGGAGCAGGCTCTGGCATGTGTCACAATGTTGGAGGGAGCTTCCTAACTCAGGGATCTCATTTTCCAAGCATGCAGACAGAAAATGTTACGGCCTGCTTCTCCAGGGCTGAGGAGTTGTGACTTTCAAATGTTCTGAAAATTAAAAGGGGACAATCATATTTGCAGGCATTCTTTAACAGGCATTCAGCAAGATAGATGATGGTGGGGTAGTTTGTCTAAATTAGGTCGATGCTTTACACATCACAGAATGGAAATCTCAGATATATCCTGAATTCAAATCATTTTTCTGCTGCAGGCAATTTAAGATTAGCCTTTAAAAACGTACATATATCAATTGCAAGCAACTGCTGCAGAAAAAAAGAGCACAGATGAGGCACATTAAACTTTAAATTCCTTTCAGATCCAACAAAATGACCCCTAATGTTTGATCACATTTCCTTATCAAAACAATCCAACAGGCCTTCCGTGAGAAGGCATCCAAGTGAGAGCTCGAATCAGGCTGCTGTCTCCCAGGCCTCTCTCATTTCTTCTCAACGCATTGTCACCAAGCTATTTTTAGTTCATGAAACCCAGGCTGTCCTCCTCCCTGCGACATTCCGTCTCTCAGAGCCAGCCAGCCAGCCAGCCAGCCTTCCAGAGCACACGCGTGCTTGGTGGTCTGGCGGTTCAGCTCGCTCTGCCCATGAGCACTCAGCACACACCATACCTTCCTGGAGACCTGAAGCCCTACACATTCAGTGCAGGGCCGCCTTGCACCCACCCTCGGGGCTGTGACAATTTGGCTTGGTTCCCTGGTGAGGCAGCTGAAATCAAGCACATGGGCAGGGATGGGACTGGAGTCCCTGCCTGTGTGCCCCTTTCAGCAACCCAAGGACATGGGTTACTTGGGGCCCTAGCAAGTCCCTCAGGGAGGAGGGGAACTCGGCTGTCTTCTGCCATCTTGTTGTCTTATGCCCAGGGTGGTGCTTTTCCTTTTCCTCTCACCGAGTCCATACTTCTCATTCATGTCAGTGAACTTTCTTCCTACTCTGAACTGTCTGTCCACACTCTTCCTGGCCTTTTGCCTGGATTCAGACTTTTCCCTCCTTTCAACTGATGCTTCTCATACCCATAACACGTGCAGACTACAAGTCAAGCAAGTCTCCTACACCATTGTAGGGCAAACAAAGGATTTCCCTCAGGCTTTCCCCACTACCCTTGCTTCTTTCCTCTCCCATGCCTCTCTGTCACTGCATCTTTTCCTTCTCTTTAGTCTGTGGGAAGGACTGGATTAGGGATCACAAATATACTTAGGGAAGCCACCTTATCTGAAAGAAAAAAAAAAAGACAGTGATAACAGAAAAACACAGGCTGGTTTGCAGTTGTTCTCTTAAGTGTTTTTTTGTTTTGTTTTTTAAACTAGCTTCCAATGTGGCAGTCAGTTCGTTTCTCATCATCCATCTCCACCCAGGGCAGCTTGCAGAGTCCTAGGATACATTTCCTCCAGCTGGGTCAGTTCCGCCCACTCTGTACAGCCTCACATGGGACTTCCTGTGCAGGGTTATGCCCAGGGACAGAACAGTGTCTCCTTGTCTCACCACTTCAAATTGTCTCACAACTTAGTGGAAGAAGTCCTTGGAGAAGAACATTCTGCAAGAAAACTGAGAAGCATTTGTTCACTGAAGTTTGAATCTGAGTCAAGTAGCTCTCTGAAAAGCAACCTTAGAGCAGAGTACTGCCTGTCATCTCAGCTACTAAGGAAGCTAAGGCAGGAGAACTACAAGTTCGCGGCCAGTCCTGGAAAGTTAGTGAGACCCTATCTCAAAATAAAATTTTATTTTTATTTTTTATTTTATTTTTTTTTAGCTGAACCAGGGATTGAACTCAGGGTGTTGTGCTTGCCAGGCAAGCACTTATTCTATTGAGCTATCTCCCTGGCCCCTCAAAATAAAATTTTAAAATAAAAAGGACCAGTAGTGATGTAGCTCAGTTTTTTTTTCTTTTTTTTGTTTTGTTTTGTTTTTTTGAGAACTGGGGATTGAACTCAGGCCCTTGCGCTGGCCAGGCATGTAGCTCAGTTTTAAGAGTGCTATCTTAGTATGTGTAAGATCCTGGATTCAATCCCTAATGCAACAATTTCCTCTAAGCAAATCTGCATTATGGGAAGTTTGCATATATTTGGGCTGTGAGCAAAGAATTAATGAGTATACAGAGCTTAGCTTTTATATTCACATCTTTAAGACACATTAAAAAAAATTAATCTCAAGGAGTTAAATAAGACCTTGAAATCTATCATTGAAAGTATTGATCCAAATTGGATCTGAGGAGTCTTCTAACTGTAAGTTTATTGTTTTATTCACCTGAAGTAGTCATGCTGTGAATTTATAGCCACATTATTGACCTCCAAAAACATGCTTTAAAAAAAAAACCCTACAAGCAGTTAGTGTACACTCCTAGCCTTGATTAGCTAGGAGCTGTTAATGTGGTTTATTAATTACTCAGGCTGCTCACTCCTGCCCTTCCCCTGTTCCCTGCTCTGCTATTTGTCTTCTTGCAGGGACAGAACACCTTCATTAAGTCCCAGCTGTCCTTGCTTCAGAGGCGTCCCTGGAAGATATCCCCTCTCACGATGTGTCACCATTTATCATCACCCTTTGTTTGTGCTCTGTCAACAAGTTTTCAATTTATTTTGAATTCAGCTTCTGATTAAAATTTAATGAGATCCAATCAAGTGCTTTTCTCGAATCAAGATGCCTCTGCAGTGTCATTTGTATCCTCTGTTGTAGATGCAGGAGGGAAGCTTTCTAGCCTGGCAATGCATTATAAAATGCAGGTGACATGTGCCCACACCCCTCAGTGTCAAGGTGAATTGTTCTGAAGAATGCTTTTCTTCTTTTTTAAATGTATTTAGTGCAAGGTCTACAGGGTCTCACTACACAGATCAGACTCATAGTTGTCCTCCTGTTTTCAGCCTCCCAAGTGCTGGTATTGATACAGGGAGAAAAAGTGATCTTGGATGGGTGACCTCCAAACCATATAGGGAACCTCCAAATGACATAGGGAAAAATGATCTCCCGACCTGACCTGTAGGAGTTCGTGTTCTCTAAAACTGAAGAATGAATTTTAGGAACAAACAGAGGTTATGAGCAGAATATATTTATTGAGGGAAAGAAAGCTCCTGTCCAAGAGAGGGACAGGAGGGGGCCCCAAACAGGTAGTTCCCCTGGAAGCTGTCTCTTCCAGGGAATTTTATAGTGTAAAACCATGTGAAGCTAAGGTAGACAAAGAGGGAACTCGCTTAGGTGGGCAGGAGGTGGGACAAAACTATGGTCAACCAATGAGATTACAAGCACCATTGCTCAGGTAGAGCTGATTAAACCCAGTGTCAAATGGGAAAGCAAGTCATGTAGCAAGCGGGCATGAATATGGGACAGGGTCTTTTCCTGTTGGGGGTTGGAATGTGGGACAGGGTCTCTTCCTGATGGGGGTTGGGCTAGTGACTCACTTGGGTCTTTCCAGGTGATTGATACTTATTTAGAATATCAATCCCAGGTGCTACTCTTTTAGCATTTGTTTGACCTTTAGGTCTTTAGGTCTGGTTCACAGCAGGAGCATCTGTCCCTCCCACAGTTGTCTTTATCTTCTGTGCTGTCTCCTTTGAGGGCCTGGCCCTGTCTGACTGCCTATAATATTTCTATCTAACTCAGCTGCCTGCAGTAGTATTACAGGTGGTGTCACCATGCTCAGTCTCAGTCACTGTCTCAGGGTGCCCTGGGGGCAGGGCCAGCACAGCTTGTGGTGCCAGGAATCTAACTCTAGCCCCTACACTCTGCCTAGGCAGGCCCTTTAGTCCGCCGGTGAGCTATCTGGCTGGCTCTGTTCTGAAACATGCTTATTCCAGAAGGTTCTAGGTGTTCTGCACTTCTCCCATCCTCTTTCTGTCTCCCAAATAGATGTACTTGTCTGTCCTCCCAGCTGGGATACAAGCAACTCAGTGCCTAGGCTCTGGCACTGGGTTGCTTGGACTTGGATCCCAGCACTGCCACCTGAAGACCTTGTGATCCTGAGAAAGCTACTTAACCTCCCAACAGTAGTGCCTATTAGCTAGGGTCACTGCAAGGGTTAGATCATTTAATGTGTGTACAACACTTAGAATGATATTTCACATGTAGAAACCATTCAACAAATATTAACAAATGAGTGATAATAAAGCACAAAGTTTAAGTAGATCCTTTTAATTAGGTGTGCATTTTGATGTATCAGCATAATGTATTTCAGTAGTTGATAAATTACCACTCTAGAGCCAAAGGTAGTCTGTGACCCATGATCTATTCATACACTGGCCTATTGCAAAGAATGATGTTAATATTTCATTTATTTATTTTACAGTAGTAGAGATTAAATGCAGGGCTTTGGGCATGCTAGGCAAATGCTGTACTGTGAAGCTACATCCCAGCCCTCATTTTTGCATTTAAAATATCTTGTGAAGAAGGTGGAGATAGGAGAAGGAGAAGAAAAAGGAGGAGGAACAGGAGGAGAAACAAACAAAGGAGGAAAAATGACAACAACAAAGCAGAGTATGAGATAGAGATAGGATATGCCCCATAACACAAAAACTATTTACTATTTGGCCTTTTGTATCAAAAGTTTTCCAAACCCTAATCTGTATGGTTTAGTTGAAAGAGCAAGCAGCTCTGCACACTAGATCCACCTTGATTAATCACTTGTTATGTCACTTTGGAAAAGCTAATGTGTCTAAGCCTTTGTAAAATAGGACTGGAAAAATGGTATTTCTCACTTTGCCTGTAGCCAGTCTTGTTTTAAGAACCAAATAAGATTATGTGAATCAAATGTGCTGGCAATAACTCTCATATCAACTTTTTGGCTAAAAAATTCAGTTCTTATGAGAGTATTAACAGTTGGGTATAAAAATAGAGTTCCAAAGCCAAAGTACTCTTTGCACTAAACAGTAAAATAGCCCTTAGTTTTTAAGAGCATATGGACCAAGCTCTACATTCAGCACTGTTTAAACTTCTTCTCATAATGCCCCTAAGGAGCAATTACTGCTATTTCCCCCATTTTGCAGATTAGAAAAATGAAACCCAGAGAAATTAAGTAATTTTGTCAAAGTCATTCCTCTACCAATGCAACTAGTAGAAAAAAGACTTTAACCCTAAGGAATGTGAATTCAGAGCCTATGTGTTTAAGAGTTGGGTGTGTTTTCCCACATTGAAGAAACAGGTATTGATTCAAGGTAAGGCTGTTGGGAAAGCAGAAGCTGTAGTTAACCATGGATGCGAACATTAAGTCTGTACATGTGTGTTCTAAGAGGGGCTTGTTAACCACAGAGACTAGGGTGAGCATCAGTGAACCTGCAGAAGGGGAGACAAGCCTCACAGGAGGGAGAGAAGCTTTTTGATGAACTATGAGATCAGAAATGTGATATTGTGGGGACTGCAAGTGTCTGTTTTGAGAAACTAATAATTGAAAGCAGAATGTGCTCGAAGTGGTAAAGGACACTGGGAAAAGATAAGAGCAGGGTTGTGGGCAGTTCGCAGAAGTTGACTGAGCTGTGTATAGAAAAAACTGGGGTGGGGGTGGGAAATACTGTGAATGTGACACCATTATCACATAGTATGTTAAGACTGCTGATATTGGATAAGATCTTATCTGCAGAACCAGGCTGTTGGGGGCGGGGTGGGGTAGAGGAGCTGGGAGAAAGGTCTCAAGCTGGAGGAGGTAAAAAGGAAGCCAATGTCAGAGACTTGGAGAAAGACAATGAAATAGAGAAAGACTTGAAGAAAGAACTTAAGGTTAGAATGGTGGTCAGAGTCCAAGAACACAATTCAAGAATTTGGGTATGGCCCAGACTGCCTTAAGGGCTTGATGCTTGGCAGGTGTTTCATAAATATTTGTAAGTAGAAGAAAGGAGGGAAAGGTCATCCCTGTGGCTTAATTTTAAGAACCCTGGGCATGGGAGATGGCTCAGTAGCATAAGCGCTTGCCTGGCAAGAGCAGGGTCCTGAGTTCAATTGCCAACACCGCGGGGAGGCAGGGGGTGGGGGGGTGGGGGGGACCTTAAGAACCCTGCAGACTTGGCCCCCAGGTACTCCCTCCCCTCCCCCATGGATCTTGACTTTTGGTGATTCTTCCAGACACACAGATCTGTCTTTGCTCTGAAATAGGTGTCACCTGTTTTGTTCTTTTTTCTTTTTCTTTTTTCCATAATTTTATTGAGAAACAAATAGCAATGAGACAGTTTCAAATCAAATTAGTAGGATAGTTCCAATAGTTAACACACTACATACTGCCTTCCTAGTGGTTATTTGTTGTACAAGATGCAGACTTGATATCCTATTTACAAACACTATTAGAACAAATCCCTCTATTCGCTGAATTAAGAGAATGTAGCTGTATATCTATCCTAATCATTTTGAATACACAGATACAAAATGGTCATTCATCTGTATCCCCTTTTTTTGTTTAGTTCTGTCATTTAAATATCATAGGTGTGTGAACTCAGCAAAATATTCCAAAATAGTCCAGTTGTCAACTGCTTTTTCACTGAACAAATTTTCTTTTTTTTTTGCGGTACCGGGGATTGAACTCAGGCCCTTTCGCCTGCCAGGAAAGCACTTATTCCACTAAGCCATCTCCCTGGTCCCTGAACAAATCATTATTGAGCACTAGTGCCAGATACCATTTGCAGGTGCTGAGAGTATTACTGTCAGCAGAACAGTCAAACATTATGCTTTCCTACCTGGGTGTGTTGGTGCATGCCTGTAATCCCAGCACTCTGGAGGCTGAGGCAGGAGGATCATTATGATTGTGAGAGTAGCCTGGGCTACATGGTGGACTCAAAGCTAGCCTGAACTACAGTGTGATACCCTTTCTTAAAAAACAAAACAAAACAAAAAAAAACAAAACATGCTTTCCTGAGATTTATGTTCTGGAAAAGAGAAAGGACAATAAGCAGACAAAGAATTGATTTGATATTTGTGTTTACAATACATATTTGAGTGGTATGTTATATGGTGATATCTGTTAAGAGAGGAAGGTAAAGCAGGGAAGGGAGAATAGGGTGCAAACATTTTGGAGAGGTTGCCATGGAGACCTCCCAAGAAGCACAGTGGAGGAAAGACTTAAGGAGAAAGGAAAAGAGCTATGCAGACATGTGGGGAAAGAGTATTTTAAGAAATAGGTAGGCCCTTAAACTGAATCACAAGTAGCTTGAAGGTGGGACTAATGTTTTCTATGCCTTTAGAAGTATTTTTTTTTTCTTTTTTGCAGAGCCGGGGATTGAACTCAGGCCCTTGGGCTTGCCAGGCAAGCGTTTATTCTACTGAGCTGTCTCCCCGGCCCGCTATGCCTTTAGAAGTATTTGTGATCAGCTTTCACTATAGTTTTCTGTACTTCCTAAGTGTGGTAGTAGACATAAAAAGTAAAATAATTCTAATTGAGCTTATGCCTCAGAAGGCAGAGCTGGACAGCACAGGTAAACAGCTCAGTGATTATTTGCAGTTTGAGTACTTCATAGTGAGATATTTGGAACATCAGGGCCTATTTTGTTTTTGTCGTGATTACTAATCCTAGCGTTTTACTAAGAGATTGTTCACTGGCATGCCAGGAAAGACCATCTGTTCCTTTTCAGGCCACTTTTAAGGAACCATGGGCTGGACCTCAGGTTCCAGTTATGTGAAATGCCTGCTCTGTCACCTTTCACATTAGCTTTTTCCAAGCCCCTGAGAGCCCCTTAGGTGGTAGAGAAGACAAATTTGCACTTTGTGTTTTGGGAGAGCTTCTTGGGTATTTACATTTGAAAATCCAGGGAGAATGTAAAGAGTTATACCTGGGATGTGAGTGATGGAGAAGAACCACGGGCCAAAAAGGAGTCCACGAACCTGGTCCTCCTTAGTCTGCTCCCTTTCCACATGGTTTCATCCTCTTGCTCAGCTGTGGGCTCCCAGATGCAGGCAGGCAGATTACCCAGCGTGAATGGCCAGCCCTGGAGAAAATGTTTGTTTCCTGACCAGCTGAAGAGTATGTTGTAAGGCATATCCAATTTCACAGCTGTAGACAAATTGTAAGGAAGAAAGGAAAACAATGACGGGCATTTTTAAACAGAAAAGGTTAGAATATCTATAGTTGGTAGGTTCCTAGTCATTATTACAAGTCTACTCAACTGAGGCTCTGAGGTCTCTTTTTTGCACAGCCACCAAGGTGGCAGGGGACTCATGCTGCGGAGAGCAGAGGGGGAAGGGACAGATATGGGAACACAGAGGCCAGCCAGGAGTTCAGAGCTGGCATTTTATGCACTGCTTGAAGGCAAAGCAGCAGAATTATGTCTGATACCAAGTGGGGGGAGAAAAGCTGTAAAGATTGTTCATTTGATTGGGAGAGGCAAAGTTACCTTTACAGAGGCAGTAACCTTGTTTTTTTAAGATAGAATTTCACCATGCTGCCCAGGCTGGTCTTTAACTTGTGGCAGCCACTTACCTACCTCAGCCTCCCAAGTAGCTGGAACTCAGGTGTGTGTCACCAGGCCTGGCTTCTTACTGGTAGTGCAGATACAGCAATGGGGCCTGGGAGTGCACCTCAGTGGTAGAGGACATGCCCCTCATGCACAAGGCTGGGGATTGGATCCCCAGCAGTGCAAAATGAAGGCAAAAAGAGCTAGCAGCCAACTGCTGGCCTCCTTCTGCAAAAGGGGCAGCATTTCAAAATGCATTCGTCTTGTTCTTGTTGGAGTGGGTACAGGGTGCAAGGGAAAGTGAATTCGTGTTCAAAAGCTGTCTTAGAACAATAATGTATGCACTTTGTGACTCCAAGCACAGTAAGCCCTCGGTAAACGTTTGTGGTTGAAATGCTGTGTGGGTCCAAAGTAGGAATTTAAAAATCCACACACAATCCCTTTTCTGTTTCTAGTATTTGAAGTATGCTATGTACAAAGGCCTTGCACAGAAGAAACCTCAGGCTTTTTTTTTTTTTTTCTTTTTTATGCACTTGCTCTTTTACTGCACCTGCATTGCAACCTTCTGCAGGCCTCCAACCCCCCACCCCACACCCTTGAGCCTTCTCTGGCCTGCTCCTATTTCTCTTTAAGCCATCCCATTTAACATAAAAGGGAACGTTTTCTTTTTCATTCTTTAGGTTCATTAAACGGTCTATTGTAGAGATAAGAACAATCTCACTCCAGCTGTGGCTAGCGGTTGCTGGCTAGTTTTATGTGGCTACCTTCATTGCAGTCATAATAATGCCCAGAGCAAATTAAGTCCTCCCAGTAACCTTAAAGTTGTGCAGTGAAAATGTCACTATAACCTTTTCCCAATGTGTTTTAAAGTTGTGCTTTCTTTTTGTATTACAAAAGAACCTTGTTATTTACTTTTAAAATTAAACAATAGTCAGAAGAAGCAAAATTTTTAAAGTTCAAAGGGTAAAACTCTCCCTCCCACCCTCCCCCTTAATCCATCCTCAGAGCACCCAGTGTACCAGGGATGGTTCACACATCTTAGGTATATGCAAACAGTTAAGCCCACAGAAATGTAGACTTTCCCTTTTCCTTACTTTTGTTACACAAAATAGCAGTAAAGTGTACACACTGTTCTGCATGCAGATCTTTTTTTTTCTTCAGAGCTGGGAATTGAACTCTGGTCCTTGCACTTGCCAAGCAAACACTTATTCAACTAAGCTATCTCCCCAGCCCCAGCATGCAGATTTTTTTAGTTTTGACACCTAATAACATATCTTTGAGATCATTCTACATCAGTTACTAAGCTTTATTCATTATACATTCCTAAAACACACACAGCAGCCTATAGTGTGATAATTTCTCTCTCATCTATACTTGGCAGTAGATTTTCATCCATGTTTGCCCCTTGCTTGTGAATAATTCTACCACAGTATGACTTTTAGTCATCTTTCTTTGACTGCCTTCCAGATAAAATGTTTTAATAACCATTAGTGCCTTTGCATAGAGGGATGAGCAAACACCTTGATGTGACTGGAGCCCATAAGCACAGTGGTGTCACACTAATAATAGTCTAAACCACACCCTGAATAAGGTCAGAAAATGGGACTGCAAGGATTGATCTGTCTTTTGAAGCTATGGCATGTTTTCTCTTGTTCCAGAAACTAGAATGAACCGAAGCATTCCTGTGGAGGTTGATGAATCAGAACCATACCCAAGCCAGTTGCTGAAGCCAATCCCGGAATATTCTCTGGAAGAGGAATCAGAACCACCTGCTCCAAATATAAGAGACATGGTGTCCACCAGCTTGCCTGTACCCAACCCCCCTCACTGTACCTCAGGAGACTTTTCTCAGGCTTACCCTCCCCTGAAACTTGCAAATTATCAGCGACCTGTGTCCCAGGAGGTCATCTGCCTACGCACTAAAGTCCTGGAGGAGAGTGATGGCAGTTTCTTCAGGAGGCATCCGGATCCTGGCAAAGATTTTCCCTTGGGTGCCTCTACCACCCGCCGGCCAGGGTCTGTGTCTGTGGCTACACCCCTCCCCCAACAGCATCAGTTTTCACTTATGGAAAAACGTAATCCATGGCTGGGATCTCAGCTTTCAGCAGCTTCTCCTGACACTGGCCATGACTCAGACAACTCAGACCAAAGTTTACCTAATGCCCCAGCTGACTCTTTGGGCAGTGGCCAAGAGACAGTGCCACAGCCACAGCCACAGCTCCACAGGAACCAGACAGCCCCAGATCTGCCAACGATAGATACAGGATATGATTCCCAGCCCCAGGATGTCATGGGCATCAGGCAGCTGGAAAGGCCCCTGCCCCTCACCTCTGTGTGCTGCCCTCAGGACCTCCCTGGCCCACTCAGGTCCAGAGAATTCTTGCAGTTTGAACCTCAGAGGTACCCAGCCTGTGCCCAGATGCTACTTCCCCATCATTCCCCACATGCTCCATGGAACTATCACTACCACTGTCCTGGAAGGCCCGACCCCCAGATACCATGTAAGTGATCTTTTTTGCCTCTAGACATTCTAGGAAACAAGACCTCACTCACATCGGTGCCCCGCGTCGCGAGACTAGTGCAGCTAGGGAACAGTGCAGGGAGGCCTTCTGCTTCTCACAGAGGTTTGCCATGGGCTTAAATTTGGAAGGAGCCTTAAAGGAATTCTTTTCCTTAGCCCAAAGCCAGTCTGCCTTGGAACCTCCTTCTTTAAGAAAGTTTAAGGATGAAATACATTTTTTTGTGAAGGTTAGTTGAACTAAAACCTGCCTAGAAGCAGAGAGATGACCCAAATGATTTCTAGAAAACTCTTTGTTCTAATTCTTGGACTTTTGCATTCTTCTTTCTCTTCATGCTTCTTTCCTACCTTATGCTTGCCAGAGAAAGAGGTGGAGCACGGGTACACTGCCTGCTTTGAGTGCCCTGTCAAGGGGTGGGTGTGGTGGTAGATTCCCTTAAGTATGAGTCACTGAGAATGGAGCAGGGCCCGGGTCAGGGCTCCATTTATTTCTAAATGACTTCGAGATTAATAGGAAATCATATGTGAGCACTATAAAATACTTTTTAATGTTGTATTATCTTTTATATTTAAAAATAATTTTTCTGATTATAGTAGTACTATTTCATCATTTCCCCCAATTGAAATATG